AGAGGGGGGGGGGGTGTCGTACGGACTCGACCACAATCTCCAACCCATTGATTTGCCCTGTTCCCCTCCCACCCCCCTCCCCACCTCTCGCTGGTAGGTAGAATGGGGGGTGGTGTAGAGGTTGGGTAGGGGGTCCTACCAAAACAGGAATTTTTGATGGGTCGAACTTCGCAGAAAAAATTCTCACTTCAGGACGTATCCCCTCCATTTTGTTGAAATCCATATGAATGCGATGGCAGTGGTCACAATACGCGCCTTTAAAGGTACCTCCCTGCCGGGCTAAGCCACGCCATGTCTGCTCTCTCTGAGCAAGAGAACGTGAAGTGTCCTAATATGGCTAGGCAATTTTTGATGCAACCTGCCTTCCCGGGTTCACGTCTCTGCCGAACAGGCAACTGTCTACCGTCGTCGAGCTCACAACCGAACCCGTCTCTGTCCGACGCTGAGATTGCCTGAATCATATAATAAAGTCCGGTACGACGGAGGGGTGAAGGGGAGAAGCGGCTCTTACTTACAAAAGTTTTAGGTATCCGTGGATGTGGTGGCTTAGAAACTGACCCTTCTGCAAGAAAGAGAGGTTTCGTGAACCTGGGAGGGTTCAAGCCATCAAACTGTAGCACTTATTCACAGCTGCCCTGACTGCGCATGCATGTCACTTTACCATTACGAATGGTGGATCGAAAAAACGCCCTGTTTCCATTTATTATCGAACTGCTTGAGTGGGGGCACCTCTACTCGTAGTTGCCCAGTGGATTCCCCGGTGCTTGAGGGACAATGAACATCATGCCATTTGTCTATCATCGAGAGGACAGATGATTGTCTCAACAAATACTCATGCTTCATCAGACTTGTCAGTGTACATTCCATATCCCGGAGATGGTCAGGGGGTGGCTGCGTACTTCAATTGGACATGGCTGGTCCTGCGCTTCTGCTGGGATATTTTCGTTTTGAGACTAGTCTGATTATGTCTTCGTCAAGCAAGAGACACGACTAGAATCGTTTTAAAACTGTAACATCCCATGAAGAGCTCAGCCGACCCAACCTGCACCCATTCAAGTAAAATATGCAGCCACGCCCTCTCCATGGCCGTGATATGAAACGATTTAACATGAAGTTTTAATAATCACCGTTGCAGAATATGTTTTCGTAATGCGAGGATGTCAAAGCCTTGTGATTCGTCCCGACTACTACCTCAGCCAAAGCACTCCATGCACACATAAAGGACCATCATTGTGTTTATGCAACACCGAATTATGCAATTCATCGGGTTTTCCAAAAATCTTTTTCATTTATTTAATATTGTATATAACCTATGTTCTGATGGGATAGAATTTTCATGTGAACAGTGTGTAGTTATGATCCCTGTAAAAGTTAGCGCATGTGAGAAGGGCGTGAGTTGGGTCGCAGCCAGAATAGCATTTCTCGCCAATGGTTGGGAACTCAGGATGACATCATTGGTGGGAAAAGACCGCCTTGGCAGCGATCCAATTCCACGCCCCGTCACACGCCCTATCGTTTCCAGGGATCCTGGCTGTATTTCTTAGCCGGGAAACATTTGCATTTACTGACGAGCTTTCAATTAATCTTCATTGCCAATATATGTATCAGGCACTGAATAAATAGTGATGAGACCATTGCAATTGTTCACAACATGAGAGCCTGGGAGGAGTCACCGGTAGTCTTCTTGCAGTGCTAACAGCTGGCACGCGATTTCATGATTGATAGGAAATTATGCACATTCCATTCCTAAAGGTTATCATGGATGAAGCATTGATAGAGGATTTCAGTTGGCAAAATTCCAGTTGCAGCCAAGTGTGGGTCAGGAGATTCAAATCACGGTAGGGCATGAAACCTTGCCCACCGCGCACGTATGGCGTGGCAGACGGGATGGATTCGGCGTAGCGACATACATGTTTTCCAGCGCCAAACCAGTTTTCCATCTGTAGTTGAAGCCGATGAGCGATCTTATCTGTATCATGTCGTTCCCCTCAGCTCTTTTCCACCGATTTTCGTCGCTTACACGCTTCAACAGAGGAGAACGGGCTGGCGACGCGTCAAACCCAGCCCCACTGACACGCCCCATCATCCGCAGCGAACAAGGCTGCAAGTCTCTACACATGGTGATATAGTAGGCTGGCGGGCACGTTTTTGTCAACATTTTTCAAAACTAGGGAGGTGGCTTGAGGACCTCGATGGATGCGATTGTTTCACTACTGCACGGAGCACGATGCAAAGTTGGAAGCCATGCCAACCTGGCTTGAACTTGGGTATGGAAATTTTTGTCCACATAAGATTGATTACAGAAGCGCACTTTGCTGTAGTAGAAGGGGCGATGTGCTGTGCTAGGCATTCAATTGCAAGGGAGAGAGATTCAAGCTCCATTTGCAGTGAGTGATCGGCTCGAGAGTTGATTTGTGGTAGGACAAAAGTGATGTGTGTGGAGTCAGCAGTTTGCGAGGCGCTAGAAGCGGACGGTGGGGCGTTCCCTAACACCGGGCGTAGACTGGCGGCAGAGGTACAGTTTCCGTTGAGATTGCGTGTCGATGGAATAGACGAACTTTTTAGTCGCTTGGACGACAATTGTAATCAATGTAGGTGGCATTCTCGTCTTTAGTCTGGGCACTCTGGCGGTCTAACCGGACACGCCAGCAAGAGTGTACGCGACACATGTTTCCGCTCTGGAACTCTTACAGATAGGCGATAATTGCACTAGAGCGCTGCGATCCGATGAGGCTGATTCTGACGGCCTCGGCTTTATTCGCACGAGTATTTTGTGCTAAGAATCAGCTTTGTTAAAGCTGAATTTTAAATCTAGAGCTTTTGACGTTACAATGTTGGCGAAGAGGATGGGTACCCTTGTTGAAAGTATATCACATTTTGAATGAATTTTGCATGAAATTCCCCTAGGAAACTTGTTTTTCTTTCTGATTTTCGCAATTTCTCCAAACTTTTCCTTAATATCCCCATTTATTTTATGATATTGACCGAGTTTTCAAAGCAGTGTCTCAGGTGATTCTGCGCTATTATCGAGAACCATTCTTGACAGACATCTTTGTGAAGCTCGAAGTTTCTTAATGTTCGCTTTTCCGATGCGAACTCCCAACTTCAAATTTTTTCTTTCCCAATTTAATGCTAAATTCATGCAAAATGTGATATAATTTCAGTAAGAATACTCACCTTCGAACATTGAAGTCAAAAGTCGAAAAATTTCAGCTTTAACAAGCTGAATCTAGCAAAAATACTGCGAAAATGCGGCAGGAATCAGCTGATCGAGAGAATTATCGATCGGTAAGAGCCCAGAGCGGAAGAGTGGGTAGACGGGTGCGGCGGCGTGTGTTAGAGCGCAGAGTGCAGAGTAAGAGACGCAGAGGCAAGGTTTTTGCGGCCATCCACCGAAAGGCAACTATCGGGCCGCTCGCCAGCGTGGCCTTAGGACCGCCCCACCGTCCGCTGAGAACTGCACTGTAGCCTTGGGTGAGGGGCCGGCTGTTGGCGGAGCAAATTTTCCCTCTGATCCACAATACGCCTTAGATCTCGTAGCTGCTTAGCGTGCCTTGACCAAGGAACCAGCTTCTTCATCCAGTAGTTTCCCCGACTAATAGCTCCTCAACGAGTGGCAGCGTACACCACCTCCTTCGGTTTCAAAACTGTAGGCTTCCTAGGCCTCCCCCGCCTTGAAGGCGTCAGTGTCCTGTGGTGAAGGTTTGCTCGATGATTGGGGGGTACATCGTGGCTTGATTCAGGTCCATCAATTTGGATACTGCATGCTGTAAGACCGCTGGCGTACGGTGGTGGGTGAATAGTTTGTGGAAGTTGTTGGATGGGTAGGAGCTGATAGCGGTAGCGGATAAAATCCTTGTGCATATTGCAGAAGAAGGAGCAAGAGGCAAGCGAGTGGTACTAACAGAGAGACCACTCCTTGTTGTATAAGAGCTTACATTACCGGTTACCACTCTTGGTAATGGGCAAGTAATTTGAGTTCGGAAAAGAGTGACAGAACTTTCCCGCCAACCTAATAGTTTCCTGGTTCAATTGATGTGCGTGCTGTTTGATCGTGGTAGCTTCGCAGCAACGACTATGGCTATCTGATTTCCTGCCACACACCCATGCCGCACATCCAGTTACTGGTAATGAACTCACATGACAATTTTCACTGAGTGTAGCTCCATTATGGACAATCTGTACAGTCACTTTGGGCGATGTGAATTTTAAGCATGAAGCAAGCTCTTCGGTGTCAATACTGCATTTTAGGCATATCAATATTGAAATCAATAATTGGAACAGGTGGCGTCCGTTGTGTGTAAGACTGGGAGGTTATTAGACTGCCTTCAATACCCAGCAACTCAGGCGTTCTAATTCGCCGCAGAGCTGAAAACCTCGCGCGCTCCCGTCGAGCTAGCGTTGGCACGCTTGCGTAATCGTTGAAAAAAATTCTCTTGTAAATATTATCGATCTGGCAGAAACAGTATCAAGCAGAAGCAACGATAGCAGACGAGCGCGGTCGCTGCAGTTGCATGATATGAGAATGGCGTGAACGCGTTCCAGTTGAAAAGTATGAACGTCGCCTTAGACAACTGCGCTTTTTCTGTCATGTGCGAGACCACTACCTATATGAGTATGGGAAGACAGGAGCAGTCGGACCAACAAGGAGAGGATGACAAAACAACTCGCTCACGATCAACGCGAAATGTCCCCTTGCCTTTGCGGCCATAGGGACTTACAGGAAAAACAAAAAACAGAACTCACAAGAAATACTGCGTTTTGGCAAGATTTCCTTCTCCACTCAAAGTGTCTACCATTATATCAAATATTTTCCGCTCATTTACTGGATCCATCCCTGAAAATAGTAAAAAGCTATGCGAACAGAGATGAAAGTCCAGAAATTATTTTGCCGATAATCGGTTTCAAGAGTACTAGAACTTCTATTTGTCGGTTAGGAGATCCACATTTCGGCTACAAACTAGCCAGTATTTTCGAGTTAGTTGACTCGGCATAATGCAGCACTCCTACATCAAATCAGTCAAGCACTGGATCCAGCAAATGCCTCCCACATGAGTTCATTAACGAGGTTGATAGGTGGAGCTTCTACTGAAAAGACCTGGGATCTCAACTGAATGGCCGCTTGCCGCTTCCCATTTACTCACTAAATTCCAGAGTGGCAGCGGATTTCAAAAGGTGAAACCAGGCCTGCAGAAGCTGGGCCACTTCAGTATCCCTGGGTCTCAAAACGTTACGCAAATTCAATAAAAGTTCCACATATCATCCACGTTACGCACAACAGAACTAATAAAAATTCCAAATAACGGTTAAATCGTAACCCTGAGAAAGTAAACGTATACTGTAGTTCACCCAACACCGACCGCTACCTCTCTTTTAGGCGATAAAAATACTATATTTCACCTTGATTGATCTCGTCCACGCAGCGAAACGGCACCGGGCACAGTTCTTGAAGAGCCAGCAAATACAGCATAGTCGACACGCTGCGCTCACCTCCGGATTGGACCTTGAATCGATGGAACTTAACTTACTGAAATGAGATGGAGTAGGACCTAAAGGCACACTCCACGATAGCTGAGAGTGGGTAATGGAGTTCAAATATGATACAGTAGGTGCTTATGTGAACAACCTGTTTTGGTCAAGACTATTCTTGATTTGAGACATGGGACGATCATAGGAAGGAAGGACATACTGGGACCAGACACGAAAGGACGATAGAGCACCGAGAGGAACGAGACGTCCGACGCGAAAGCAGCCCACAATTAGTGCATTTCAAGGCGGAGTCGTGTCGGCGAACTGACGCTTTAGCGCCCTCTGCCCCCTTCCTCCCACTCTGAGTCGCGGAAGAGGCACAACCTTTGCAATAGTGGATCAGCCAGTTCACCCAACGAAGGGTTGATCCATTCAGCTAATCGTGAAATGTACGACAGCGTTCAGACGACGATGCAGACGAAAGCATGCGCATCGATCGCGCCGGACACGCGACCGAAGCGCTGCCGTCGCGAAGTCTGAACGCTGCCCACCCTAGTAAGAGCTCTTATAGTCATGTAAGCTATGAACCTGGTGATCTAATCGCCGAAGTCGTTCACCATTACGAAAGCTGACCATAATCATAATTCCATAGCCATCAATATTGAGCTGAAAAAAGAAGAAGTATTCTCCACTTCCCTCTTCTTGCAACCTCGGCATATTCAGTTGTATATTGTGTTAGTAATTCATCCACCTACCAACCTTAGAAGGCACATAAAATACTAACATAATAAGCCACGAATACCAAATTCTCCGTTCAAAGAATAGCACTTACAGGATCTTCAGGAATTTCGAGATACACTTCGCCAGCACATCCTATAGTTGCAAAGAATTTGGAATAATTGACGTTAATCTTACGAATGAGGTCTTCTACAGGTTCTCTCCATTCCATAATTTCCTGGAAAATTGCAAGCTCACTATCACCTTTTGGAATACAGCGACCCCTCTAGGTACCTTCATCAAAGTGGTCCTCCACGCTTCTCTCGTAACTTCCTGCTGTGCTTTACGTTCCAGCAAGGTGGTCTTCTCTTGCTGCAAGCGCTCACAGCGGTCAACATCCTAAAAGGATTAAGATAAGGTTTTGAAAATTTCTGAAAACTGTGAGTTTCTCCATTAGTCCCGAGTCCACGTAGGTTGTTGGCACAATTCT